ATCAATATCGATTTCCTGCTGGTGGATGGGCATCCATTCGGCAGCCTGTGGATAGAGCAGTAGTTTTGATGTTCAAGGCTTGTTATTTAAGAAATACATCTTTAAGTCTGTGGCTCCCTTGGATAATGACTCTTCAGGTGGATGTGGGTAAAGAAAACAGAAAACCTTTTGGAAAGGACTTGCCATTCTGGGCGACGTCAAGAACATTTGTGATCCATGGGGAGGAGAGGTCAAAGGATCGACATCAACAGGCATTTGGAAGAAGTTGATCCGAACCCTCATGAATGACTTAAAGGGGTTCAGAACTTTAGTGGAACTTTAGATATAAACAAGAGAACTAAAAGTGGCGGGGGGGACTTTTATAAATGGGTGAGTAAAGAAAGTGGTTTCTTGACGTGGAGTCTCCTTCTAATGAAGGTGCTGTGCATAAATCGTTTCTGAAAGAATCAATCAGTGTGGCAAACTTTGTTATTTTTTCCTCAAGAAATTCCCCTAGCCACTCCAACCCTTTGCAGCCACCACCCGATCCATCAGCAGCCATCAAGGTCATGGAAAAACCCTTAGAAAGATTATGACTTACTGAAGGTAGTGGTTTTTAGCAATGAGGTATTTTTAAATTAAGATATGCACGCCGATTTTTGGCTATTAGGCTATGGCACATTCAACAGACTGCAGGGTGGTGTGAGTGTAACTTTAATATGCAAACTTCACATGACCTGCTCAGTTGTAGTGGTCTGGAATCAAACGCAGTCTCTTAGATTTACCTGTATTTTGAAGGGAAAAATTCTTGCCTTAAAACCTCACAGGATAAGTACTACATATGCATGCCCTAAATATTCATCTTAAAGAACTTTTAAAACACCAATAGGAAACAAAAATGAAAGCCAATTAAGTGAAACACAAAAGGAGAAGAACAGAAAAAATTAATGATGGTTTACCAGAAAGACCATTTAAAACAGCTCTTTGCTTATTTTATATGGGAACAAAGTAAGAGCAAAAATCACACTGGAATGGGCATTGGAAAGGAGACCAAACCTCAAACCAGAGCAAATTGGCAGTTGTCTTAAAGTGTATCAGTGGGCTAAAATTGTTTTGAGAAGCAGTAGCCAGGTTAGAGACAAAGTCCTACAGGAGTCACTTGAAGGGTATTAAAATACCTATTGGGTAAAACAGAGTTTAGGTCTACATGGCTTTTTAACTGAATTCTGAAACCCAAGAATATAATTCCAGTTTGACTCCATAGAAGCCACCAGCAATTCAGAAATGCTGCAGTTGTCTTGAGTTCCACAACTTTCAAATCAAAACCAGAGGTGGATGGGACTCCAGTGCTCCATCCACCCACCATGGCCTCAGGTCAGTGTCACTTGTGACTAAAATGCATTGGCAAACCCCAAACTTCACCTTCAGCTTCTTACAGAAGCACAATATATTAAATCTAAGTGGAATTTTTTCCAGCAATTCAAGGATAGTTTACCATTGGCACAGTTGGCAACAAATTGAGAAAAACAGCAAAAGTCACTAAATGCCACAACTGTATCTGGCCAAATAATTAGCATAGATTGTGGAAAGAAAGATAAAAGGGAGACTGATATATATTTGTCTCGCATTTATTAAATCTAATCACTTCTCTATTCTGGAACTAACATGTAGAAATGTAGGGCAGCAGACAGGGACATATGGGAAATTCTGTTCATGACATTGACAGAAACAGTTCCTCATTTAGCAGTAATTTAAATAAGAAATTTAAATAGGAAAGATTGCGTTTATATAAGGTCAAGTATAAAATCTTACTGAAAGATAAAACCACCTCGGGACAAGTAGAAATGTATACCAGTCCTTCCAAAATGGATGTTTGTGAGCTTATACTGATGACTGGTTCCAACCAATTATGTGTTGAGAAAGGTGGGAGGTAGCTGCAGAAATAAATGTGTGTTTTATAAGTTAGATAAGTGTATATCCTTGCTCTGTCTGCTGAGGGAGCCCAGAACCACTGATGTCCTACTAGCAATGAGCACACCTACGCACCTAGATATTGCTTTCTAAATATAATCCCCCAATAAAAGAAATCAACACTCCTCGGACAAGTGATTAGTTACAGGGCTGGGGTAAAATGAACATGGAACATCAATAAATAAGTGCTGAAAAAAGGATGTGGGCACTTCAAGTGGGCAGAGGAGCCAACTGGAAAGAGCTCCAGTTACCAAAGCTGGAACAATGTGAGCAAGCAATGATCGGCCTGGATTAGAACGTACAGGGTCAATATCCACCTGTCCATGAATGAATGAGAAGAGATCATCAGAACCAGATGATCCACATTAGTGCCACATGTGACTGCACATCCATGCCCTTCCTGATGTGACATTATTACCCAGAACCAAGAGCCTCAGACAGATCGCGAGGACACACCAGCCACCTGCATCATGGAACACTACACAACACCACCATAAAACATCAGAGAGGACCACAGAAACCTCACAGACTAGGGGGACCAAGGCGACACTGGCCGAGTACAGCACGGGAGCTCGGAATGGCAACGGGGCATTCAGTAAAGTCTGCGGCTCAGCAGTGACGCACCAGCGTCCGTTTATCAATCGTGACCTTCCTAACTGTGGTTGTGCAAGAGGTTGATGCTGCAGTATCTGAGAACTGTACCACTGCTGCAGCCTTTCTGTACAATTTATAATTTCAATATAAAATAAGAGAAGGCAGCACAGTGGGGGGAATTTTCTTCATGTTTTTCCTCCTGCTAAAGAGAAAAAAAAGGAAATACTCTAAGATTGCATCAAGGGCCAGGTAGAACTTAGTACCAAAGTATTTTCTAACTAGGGACTTGGAAAAGCAAAAAACTGAAAAATATGTCAAACAGACTCAAAAGAAAACTAGGAAATGGTTATTAAAAATGTCTATGGGGGAAGAGGGGAATGGCTGGGAGGGGTGCAGGGTGGGCAACACTCTCTTGATGGGGTGGTCATCTCTCCCTTCTCACAGTTCCCTTGGGGGATGTCCATGGTGGCTTTTTTTATGGTTTTATTCATGCATCATAATTACACATAATAGTGGACACAGCTGGCAGTGGGTCTCATTTTGACATTCATAATTGCATATAGCATAATTGGCTCCATTTCAATTCCCAGCACTTGCCCTTTCCTACCCCTTGCTCTACACTGTTGGTCTTCCTTTTGTTTGTTGATTGTACATAACTATAATGCACCAATTTAAAACAAAAGTGGGGAATGCGTTGTGATATATTCCTATATACATATAGCAAAATTTGGTCAACTTCCTGCTCTAATCTTCTCCCTTCCTCTTCCCTCCTCCCTTCCCCTTGGTTCCCTGCCTCCACTCTGCTGATCTCCTTTCTGTTTTCTTAAGACCCCCCCTTCTTATTCCTTCTGCCGCTCTTGTTTCTGTGGATGACAGAAAACATTTGACCCTTGACCGAGTCTGGCTTATTTCACTTAGTGTGATTTTCTCCAGTGCCATCCATTACCTGCAAATGACATAATTTCATTCTTTGTGACTGAGTAGAATTCCATTGTGTGTATGTTCTGTGACTCTTTGGAGGTCATTAAAGTGGAAAGATTTGCAGAGACAGGTATCCTCAGAGTCTGTGCTTTTTGTAAAGACAAATGACAAGAGCAGCCCAGAATGTATATTGATCCGCAATTTTGTAGCCCTGGAGTCTCTCATAAAGTAGTCCACTAGTAGGGGAGTAGTGGTCGCTAGACTGACCTCTGGAGTAGCCAGCCTGCATACACTGGTCAGTGACCTTTCAAAAAATCACAGGTGGCGAAGCATTTCTTTTCCCCCCACCCCACAAGCACATTGGCAGGAATATTCGGGAATTTGTGGGCTCCCTGGGTGGCAAGGCTCAGGGGCGGGACTTGTGCCAGTCATGGCTGCACCCTAGTGCTCACCCTGCAGCTCCGTTTGCCCCTCTCCTGGCCTCATTTCAACTTTCTCTACATTACGGCAAAGGGACTGAATTGAGATCACTAGGAATTGGGTACATCCACCATTCTTTCAGCCAGTCCCAGGAAAATTTTATACTAAGAACACCAGCAAAAATCCTGTGGATGCTTTTAATTGGCATGGCTGGGGTCACTACTGGGAGATGATGGTGAGGAATAACACATCGGTGATGCCTAGAACTGAGCCACTTGCCTATCCCTGGGGGTGTAGTCTATGGTACCTTGGCTTTTTTTCAGGAGTGGGGAGGGAGATAACAGCTTTGTTGAGATAAAACTCATTTATCACACACTCACCCATTTAAGGCACACAATGTTTTTAGCATATCCAAAGTTGTACAACCATCACCACAACCAATTTTAGAACATTTCATCACCCCTAAAAGAAATTTTGTGCTAATTGGCTGTTACCACTTACCCCTCCCCTGGTTACCATTAATATACTTTCTGCTGTATGGATTTACCTGTTCTGGAGATTTCACATAAATGGCATCTTACAATATGTCATCTTTTAGCATGATATTTTCCAGGTGGAACCTATTACTGTGCCTTTTTATTTTAAGTTGTAGAGGACACAATACCTTTATTTTATTTATTTTTATTTTTATGTGGTGGTGCCAGGGATCGAACCCAGTGCCTCACGCATGCTAGGCAAGCACTCTACCACTGAGCCACAACCCCAGCCCCATTAAGGTCCTTATAAAATCTTAAATTATCTGCTTCCTGCCTATCCTCACATTGTGGTGCTCTTTCCTTAGTTAAGCCAGTAGCTGCTTGACTTTTGCTCTTAGATAAAAGCCGGGAGGTGATGCAGACCAAGGAAAAAGCATCTTAGATTAAGACGTGGGATCCAGGGACTTTACAAAAGGGCTAGCTTCTGTAGAACACGTAATGACTAACTGTGAGCTTTATCTCATAGTTCCATTTGCAAAGCCTCTGCCTGGGCACATGCATTAGACCCATGTCCCATGTGTTGGTTTGGAAGATGTGGTCATTTCACAAACTCAAGGTGATTCTCGCCCCTGCCCCCAGGAGAGTGAAGAGGAACTTTACTCCTCCTGTCGCCAGCTGCGGAGGCGGCAAGAAGAGCTGAACAACCAGCTCTTTCTGTACGACACGCACCAGAACCTGCGCAGTGCCAACCGTGATGCCCTCATCAAGGAGTTCAATGTCAATGAGAACCAGCTCCAACTGTACCAGGAGAAGTGCAACAGGAGGTAGGTTAGCAGATCCTGGGCGTCTGGGCAGTGACTTCGGGTGTCCAGGCCAGGCTTCTGGAGAGCCCCCCACATGGCTTCTCTAGGAATTCTTTGTTACCCTCGCTTTAATTCTCTTGCTCTGTAGATGAACTTACAGGAAGACCTCAAGCACCTGACACTTCCCTAGATAGAACTGTTTTCCAGACATTTCAATAATAGTGGAAATAAATGATGATCATTAACTTTTAATTTTTTATGATGCTGGGGACTGAATTCAGGACCTTGTGCATGCTACTATGCTAAGGCAAGGGCCGTACCACTGAGCGACCTCTGCCACCCCAATAACTACAGACTCCAGAGGAGTCCTACTGACTTCCCAAGAATGGGCTAGTCCTGTGGTTCAAGATCAGGGCAGAATCCTCCCAGGGGAGGCTCTTGTTGTTCCCCAGGCACGTGATGGCAGAGAGCTAGCTAGACTTGACAGGTGGCTTCCAGTGTGCCAGATAGTGACTGAGCAACTAAAAATGACTCCGACAACCTCAGCACTGTTCTGCACTCCTCACCGAACCATTTGGCCAGCCTACAGCACAGCTCTTACGCCATTTTACCAAGAAGGAGGTGGATCTGAGTTTCAGGGTCTTGCCAGGAGCCTGGGGCCCCCCTGACTCCCAGCCCTGAACCATCCAGCCAGGAATGACTACAAATGTATGGATGGAGAAATGACTTGGAGCTCAGCGCAGAGATTATATCATAACTGCTAATGACAGCACAATCTCTTTTCTTTCAGGTTGAGAGAGAAGAGAGTCAGTAACAGCAAGTTTTACTCCTAGATGTGAGTGTACGTGTGGGGGTATCTGTGTGTGCATGTAGGAAAACGTGCTGTTTGGTTCCTGGGAAGAGGCTAATCTGTGACATTGTCCTGTCTCCAAGTCTGCCTTCAAGATGACGTTTCTGAAGAAGCCCTAGCTGGCATGAGTTGGGGTGATTTCCTGCTAATTTTTCCTCACTAGGACAACTTTTTTTTTTTAACTTATATTCTCTATAGAGAATTGCCCAAATGTGCTCATTTTTGGTGTCTTATATTCCAAACCTCATTGAATAAAAGCAACAAAAAAATCTTGGTCAGTTAAGCCTTCTATGCATGACCTATACCATGAATAGGATTTCTTTTCTGGTGAACAAGATTCTACTAATGACCCAGGTAATTGACTTCCACAGAAGATGAATCAGAAATGTAAGAAACTAATTAATTAGATTCTGAAAAGAATTTTAACTAAAAAGCAGATGGTTCCACAGAGAAGCCTGCCCTGTGAGTACCCAGCTCAGTGCACATTCCCTACCATGGGCAACTGCCTGCATGGACCACCACAGGCCCCAGGAAAGAGCTGGGTGATGGCTTTTGTTCATTAGGACAATTTCCAATTAATGGCAGAGGCTTGCTTTGTCAATAGAGTTACTGGGGGTGGGAATCTTGGGGCCTCTGTTTTAAGAAGGCTTTCAGAGCTCAGGTTCTGTGGAGGCTCCTCCCACCCCTCTTCTGCCTGCTGCTGGGAGTCTCTGCCACTCCTCACGCCCAGGCTCTGTGGCGCTGACTGGCAGCAGCTGGGAAAGCCCTGGGTCCTCAGACAAGGTTAGTTGCTGGTTTAAAGAGGACAAAAGTTGAATTTGTGGGGGAATGTCTCTGGGTTGTTCGGTTTCTGGAGCAGTGAGCTAAGCTCTCAGGGATTGAGCACTAGAGTGTTGTAGAAAACTGCAGATGCACCTTCTCCCAGCAGGGGAAGGCACCTCCATCATGATTACACATGTGGCTCTGCATCCTGAGCTCAATTTCAATGACTTAGTAAGCCTTTTAAAGGAGAGGATCATGCTGGGTCACTAGAGTCACAAGTTAGAGTGACTTGAAACTTGAGGAAACAGGTGTACATATGAAAAACAAGTGCGGTGTAGAGGAACTAGTTAGCAGTAAACTGGTGCTTTGGTTGGGTGGAATTTGGTCCTAGAAACCCATTCAATCCTCCCCCGGTTATACAAAATGTCGGGCTCAGTGTGCATGTATTGTTGGCAAGCAAGTCAGGCCCTGTCTGACCTAAAGGCACTCTCCCTCGAGTCCGCAAAAACTTACTGAGCACCTCCATATGCCAAGCACAGTGACAGTTTTGACCATGAGAAATATCTGTGGTTACTGGTCTCACGGACCTATATCCATCCGTGAGCTCCTGGAAGAGGCAATTACCTTCCCCAAAGCCAGGAACAGCAGTCTGTGGCCGGCGGTGGGGTGGGGGGGGCTCTTACCGTGGGACATTATTTATTGCTCTGTGAGTTGCTGTTTTGTGTGGCAGTCAGCATCAAAAGTCCTCATAACAGTCACCGTTCAAAGCGACTTTCAAGAAAGGCAAGGAGCTGAAGTGCCACGGGGAAGGAAGTTTCACACTGTCCAGCCAGTGCCCCGCTGGCTGGTGCCCAGGCAGCTACTGGTGCCTACCCCACGAGCGTGACAAGTACCCCAGTCCCTTTTAGCCATATCATTACCCTACCCAGAAGCTCCCACATCACTCTGTATTAAGCCAAATTCCAAGCCCACATCTCCTTTCACTTAAAACAGACTTTTGACTACTGTATCATTTTGGCTACTGTATCAAAGATATGGAGAAGTAGCAGAAAGACCAAAGCTTGAAGAAGTGAGGCTTGTCTTTGCCTGCTGCTGTGTGGAGACTTGCCCAGCTGACCCTGTGGGAAAGGCAGGCAGGGGCCATCACAGCGATGCTGGGAAGAACCCGTCTCCTCCTCCTGGTGCTCCAGTGAGAGCCCACCTTTAGAGAGTACTTGCTTTGGCTCTTCTGTCCTTCCCTTAATAGGGTCATGTATTGATTGGTTTTTGGTAATGTCAGGGACCAAGTGAATTCTCAGGAAAGAAATAGATGATATCATGTTTCTTCCCAGAGTCTGGATGCCACAAAGCCCAGTCATCTAGCTGAGATGGCTCACCATGCGACTTAAACCACTGGCTATATTGCAGGGTGATGCAACATTCCGACAGATGGCAGCAGCCCTATGGGCCCCTGCTGCCAGTGCATGGGTGTCACATGACTTGTTTGCCAATTCCTTACATGTGCTATTGGGAATATTGATTACTACATGGAAAAAAAATAAATGGAGGAGGTTGGTTGGGTTGTTAAGTTTGGGAAACTTAGGTTGTACAAAGCTAAATTTCCCCATGGTGAGACTTAGATATGCAAGAGGTAAGAGGGGTGTCCAGAATCATGTTCCCCAATTCAATCTCAGAATCCTTTGGCCAAGCAGTGGCTGAGAGATCAGTGTACATAGGAAACATCTGAGGATCTGATGGTCTATTAAGAAGGAAGCTAGACAACAAAATCTAGTAATTTACATGTTTTCTGACCTGGTTAAAAATTTAACCTCAAGCCACCAAACCAAGGCCAGTGACCTTTGAGCCACCCATGCCATGGCAGGCCAGCCTTACCCCTGCGGCAAAGAGCCTTTCAGGTATCTGTTTTCAGATCCTCATCTCCTATTGCACTTGTTCCTAAGAGTCATCTACCTTTAGACGATGCCCTTTTTAATCTTGCAAAAGAAAACAAGTTTCCCTCATTTCCTATCTACTGGAGACCAGGACCCAAGGTAGAGAATTCAAAATATGGATGTTTGGTCTAAACAGGGTGCAGACCTTTTACAAACTGGGCAGTGCCTAATTCTTTGCTTTCACAAAATGGATGAGACACTCAAGAAATTTCTGTCTTTGGACATGTGCCTGTGAGAGGAGACGGAAGAACTTGGATAATGCTATCACAAAACTTCCTCCGCTCCGGTTCCTCATCTGTGTGAGAAGGGTCATCACAGCTTCCACATGTAACAGGGAGAAAGGGCATCCGCACCTTGGCTCATTCTGAAAACATTAATTCACAGGTAGATAAAATAATTGGAGGAGAAGGCCCTCATCATTTCCAATTAATAATCAATCTCCATTAATACATTTCCAATGAAGTTTTACTATGTTTAATAATTCATGTAAAATTTGTACTCTGTGTTTGCTAATCAAGCTCCATCCAGAAGGCATTTTTTAAAAAGCCTAGGGCCTTATGATTATATGATATTATGTAATTTTATTAAAAATAAAATTAAACAATATAAAAGCCCTATGTAATTAGGCTAAAATTTCGAGGGGGAAGAGGTATAAAACTACACATTCAGGATATAAAGGGAAATGTGGATTTCCTATTAAAAATCGCCTGTTCATGTCATTTTTGAAAGAAGGAGTGTCTGTCAAATAACTTTTATATTTAGAGCCTCTTGGCTAAATTTGAAAAGGGATTTAGTGGTTTTATTTGAACATACTGTACTACAATATGCCAGCATTTACATCCTTGCAACTGTTTGTGAGGAAAAATTTTAGATGTCAATTTAAGAGAGATCGGAACATGACATTTTAAGATCACTGATCCAGGGCCACTAAGTGACCAGTTGTATTTGGAAGCAAGGATGGCTACAAAGGGCCCTGATGCTTTTTACTTTAAAAGGAATGTCACTCAGCGTTTAACTTGTGTGACATTTAACTTTTTGGGAGCAAAAATATATGCCTAATATGAATGTGCCTATATGTGGTACTCTAGCTGTACCTAAAAGCTGTACTCTAGCCAACAGAAAGTTAATTAGATTCAGGAGTATGCAGAATTTAAAAAATTGACATTTAAGATTACTCAATGAGGGGCTGGGGCTGCAGCTCAGTGGCAGAGCGCTTGCCTAACACGGGTGAGGCACTGGGTTTGATCCTTAGCACCACATAAAAATAAATAAAGGCATTCTGTCCATCCACAACTACAAAAAAATTTAAGAGATTACTCAGTGATTTGTTCTAGGTTTTTAGTTGATCAAAATATTTTCTTGAAGAGCCAGATCACACAGCGATCCCATTTTTTTCAGAAATTTCCACTTTCTTACTTTTCACTAGGCTTTACACAGCTGCATTTGTAAACTCAATTCCTTGTTAAAGCTTAATTTATTTTTTTATATAAATATATGTGCTTGTCTGTGTATGTAAAGGATTATGTGAATGAGTCACACAGATGTTGGCTATGGTTCTTGTGAAAATTAAATGGTTGTATCACATTTAAAAAAATAAAAATTTGGCCTGAATGAATACAGTAATCTGTCCAGAACTCTTGTTTTAAACTGCTATTTGATTTTTACACTCCCTAATGAAACAATGGAATGATTCAGATATGAGATAGTTATAATTCTTTTAAAAACATTATTTCCTATTCTATTTATCACATTTTCTAGGTTACAGGTCTTTTTTGGGGCAAAACTCAGATATACAATGAATATGTGACTCTTCAATTTATCTGCTTTGGAAGAATGTGTAGGGCTAGGAGGAGCACTGAGGTCGGTGTAAGTGAATTTCTCAGAACAGTGATGGGTGTCACTGGGGCTGTCAGCCACAGCAACAGTCCCTGGTGCACAGAAGCCCTGTTGTATGTCCCATGACTGTTCTACCCTGGCCCCCACCACCAGCAATCAGTCACCCCACCCCAAGACTTCAGAAAGGCCTATGCCAAACCTGCATTAGGAGATGGAGCAGTAACAAGTAGAGAGGAAATTAGAGTAGTGGCTTGATCATTTTGGGGAAAAAAATGATGCAGTCATAACTCTGAAAGATACAAAAGGAACATATGTCAAAAATTCTGTTTAACTCACTAATCCTCAAGGGGACCCATAAAACATTCCAGCTGGAGCAAAGGAGAATTGAAAGAACAAGGTACACAATGCATACACAGGCTGCCAGGGCCTGGTTTTGTAGGGTCTCTACACCTCTCATTGAGTAACTCAATTGATTCCTGTCTGCAGAAATGCAAATTGTGACTGGAAACTCAGTTATGCATTGCCTTGTGGACACTGACCACTGATCTTGCCAGTTTAGTATCCACTAAGCAAATTATTTTAGTATCATCCATGACTTGAAATCTAACACTTGCCTCACACCACATATACAGGTTTAGCCCAGTATATTATAGGCCAAAATGGAAAGAAAGGCAATGTTTCAAGGTCATCAAACCTTGAAGTAGGTGAAGGCTGCTCAAACAGAACAGAAAAACCTAACCCTAGGAAGACTGCCGAGTTTGACCACCAAAATTCAGGCTGTGTGTATCAAAGGGCATAAATCAGAAGGCAAATGGGAAAGTGGAAGGAGGCACTTGCAATAATATACCAGACAACAAACAGACTTCAGTCAAAGCATGACTCCATCTTTCCAAGTCAATGACAGAAATCCAGTAGGGAAAAAGTGGGCATACTTCATGAGTAGCCCCTTGCAAGAGTGCATCCTGATGGCTGGGAAGCAGAGAAGGTGTTCATTATTCGCAAGGCAATACAATATGAAACCACGAGAGGCTGCTATATTCTTACTGGCGTGTTGAAAATTTAAAAGCTGGATAGCAAATGGGGGCAAGAATATGGAACACACTGGTTGTGGGGTAAATTGGTACAAAATCCACAGACCCTCTACTGACGTTAAACATGTACACATTTAAGACCCAGCAACTCTGCTCCTAAATATATGCCTAATATGAATGTGCCTATATGTGTGCACATATATGTGCACAAAAAGATGTGTACCAGAGTGTTCATAGTACTGCTGTTCAAAATAGGCAAAACCCCTAAAGAGCTCTAATCTAGACTTTGAGATTTCACCCTGTGTTCTACTGTGTATGCACAAAATAAAACTTCCTCAAAGCCAGTTTACAATAACTTCTAGTACACAGATTATAGAAAAAAGTACAAATACGTAAAGAATTGAGGGTCTATCTTCCACACAGAGTGACAATATAATTTATTATATAAAGGGGACCCATTTGAGAGTGAAAAGGGACATTATTAAAAACTAGGATAAGACTACAGGCATAAAATAGAACTGTCCTGGGAAAATTGGGACCCAGGGTCACACCTTATGTCAGCAGAGAGGAGTGTCACACCATACAGGCAGGTCATTGCGATGGACAACTGAACGGGATACAGAAGTAGCAGAGGGCAACAGGGCAGGGGCATGGGAGACAGGAGCCCGGTGGCCCTGCTTTCTACAGAAACATACACAACAAACTTGGGATGCTGCAAAGGGGTCTTGGACGTATCTGCAGGGTTTCAGCCTTCTGTAAGGAGGTGTTCACACATTTTACTTAGTCACTTTTAAATCTATGTTCACGAATTGAAAAGAGGCATTCTCTAGGTGTCCATGGTGAACGGAGAAAGAGAATGTCGTGTACACATATACAATGGGAGTGTGTTCAGCCATAAAGGGTGGAATCCTGTCGTTTGTGGCCACGTGGTAGAACTGGGGAACATTATGTTAACTGACGTAAGTCAGACACACTCATAGTTGGAAGCTAAGCATGTTGATCTCCTAGAAGTAGAGAGAAGTCTAGTGGCTACTGAAAGCTGGAGTGGTGGCTCGTGCCTGTGATCCCGGCTACTTGGGAGACTAAAGCAGGAGGATCTCAATTTCGAGGCCAGCCCAGGCAACCTAGCCAGACCCTGTCTCAAATAAAAAAGAAAAAGAGGTGTGACTAGTGGGAGAGTACTTGCCTAGCATGCATACGAGGGCCTAGGTTCTATCCCCAGTACTGCAAACGAACCACACACATACACACACACACACACCAGTGGTTACTAGAAGATGGTAGGGGGAGATGGAATGCAGGGAGGATGGTTAACAAGTACAAGGGGGGTGTTGGACCATTTGACCCAGCTATCCCACTCTTTGGTTTATACCCAAAGGACTTAAAATCAGCATATTACAGTAATGCAGCCATGTCAATGTTCATAGCAGCTCAATTCACAATAGCCAGACTATGGAACCAACCTAGGTGTCCCTCAATAGATGAATGGATAAAGAAAATGTGGTATATAATGAATTTATGGCATTTTCCAATAAATGGTTGGAGTTGGAGCATATCATGCTAAATGAAATAAGCCAATCACACAAAACCAAAGGCTGAATGTTTTCTCTAATATGCGGATGCTAATTCATAATAAGGAGGAAGGCACTAGAGAAGAATAGTGTTACCTTAGATTAGATAGAGGGAAGTGATAGGAGGGAAGGGGAGGGGATGTGGGGATAGGAAAGATAGTAGAATAAGACAGACATTATTACTTTATGTATATATGTGACTGTATGACCAATATGATTCTGAAACATGTGCACTCAGAAAAATGAGGAATCATATCCCATCTATGTATGATATATGAAAGTGCATAAATGCATTCTACTGTCACGTGTAACTAATTAAGACAAAAAAATTTTAAAAAAGAGTGGTGTTGGATAGGAGAAACAGATTCTGACATTGATGGCATAGGACAGTGACCATGGTTGTCAATATTTACTTGTGTATTTCAAAATAGCTAGTGGAGAACATTTAATATGTTCCTAGCACAAAGAAATGATTAATGTTTGAGGTGATGGATCTGCCAGTTACCCTGATCTGATCATTATACATTGTACACGTGTGTTAAGATATCAGACTGTACTCTATAAATATGCTCAGTTACGACCTGTCATTAGATTTTTAAATATTAAAAATGTACTCCAAGTGTATAGAAGTAAGAGTTTGACCAACATGTTATTTGGGGTTGACTTTCTAGTGCTGGGCGATTTAAAACCAAGACACACCATGGTGAGCAGAAAGACACAAATGACCATTTTTCCTCCAGTATGATCTCTGCCACATCAAAAAATAAAAAAGAAAGTAAGTTCCCATTTTCAGTTTACAGCCCCAAACATGTTTGCATTGATGTATTTACAGCCATGGTAAACAAGCCAGCACCTGCTGCAGAGCAGCGATCAATGACAGCTTTCATTAGCACCATGTTGTCTGTACAGCCACTGAGAACGAGCTCTTCTCATTCACACGGCAGCCTCTGCGGCCAGCTGCTCACTGAACGCCCCGCTTCACCGTCTCACCCTCAGCTAGCTGGCCTTGCATCCACTGCTGTGAACCACCAGCTCCCCCTCCACACCCTGCCGCCTCTCCCAGAGGAGCCTTTCTTAATTAAGGATCCATGTGCACCGTGCCTTGCAGGTCACAAAAGGCCTTTGTGCCATTTAATCCACACAGTTCCCCCAGGAGATGAGCAGGGAATGTATTATCTCCACTCCACAGATGGGGGGCATTTTCTCTCAGAGTCACTTTGCAAATAAGAGATGGATCCTAGAGAGGCCCAAGGACCTGCAAGCAAGCAAATGACCATCACCACCAAAGGAAGGTGGAGTGAAAGCCCAAGGTGCCCCAGGGCTCAGAGACAGTCTCTCTCTCAAGCATCTGGAAGAAGTTCACTTCTTACGGAGAGAATTTAAGCATTTTAGGGCAGCTTTGCGAGTTGGACTTTGCATTTCCTTTCCTCTGGCAGATTTTTCTTTTCTTTTTTTGGAAAACCGCAAATAAAAAGTTTAATTTCAGGAACTGAATCCATCATTTATAAATACACTAAAGCACAGTCCACTCGAATTGAGAGCGAGCGAAGGTACAGTATTCAACAGAAGGACAGCTTCCTGGGGGGCCATGGCAGAGGAGCACATGGCCTCACCCATAGCACCCAATGGTCTGAAGAGACGTAGAATAGAACATTTTTCAGATGTTAAAGCAAACACTGACAACTGAATCTGACAACTGATAATTTCACTCTGATGTCCTGGGATTCTAAAATACCCCAGTGATGGCTGAATCTTCCCTATTATAAAAAAAGAAAAATCTAAACGCCTAAGGCTAGCCTCACCACTGTAGCCTGCCAGACGCCCCTGTTGGTCACCACTGCCTCCAGGGCCCGGCCATGTCCCAGCACCTGGGTCAGCGCACACAGAGCTCCACTGCTCAGGGACGCTCCTGTCAGAGGCACCCGACGCCGTCAACGGGCCCCCTGTTGCACTGCCACGCTCTGCACCGGCTGAATCCTTAGCATGGACACACACGGGACTCTGATTTCAAGGAGTAGGACAGACAGTCAGGGACCTCTGAGTGAATGAACAGACCGTGTAACCCTGAATGCAAAGACCTGAAACGGAACGTGTCCGTGACCACGTCACTGCAACTGCACACTCCGTGAGTCACCCAAGTACAGTTTTGTTTTCAAACGCTTTGTCTCTGTGGTAAACAGT